TCTCTTTGGTTATTGTCTTCCTGCTAAGACTAAGTTTTTGATTTATCAATAGAAAACGTGTTGGATATGCTAAGTTTTAAACTCTTTACTTTAGTCCAAATGCTTTTAGACATAGGAACAATTAGTCTTGAAGCAAAATAAAATAATTATATATTGACAGCATGGGAATTGTTTGATGAGGTGACTAATTAGTACACTTGCCAATATTAAGTAGCTATAACTATCAAGGGAAATTATATACAGTTACACAGAGCTGAATATATCTTGTAAAGTCTTTCTACTTTGGAATTTTTTTTAAATACTCCTTTATTATTCATTTGTAATATTCCTGAAAGTTACACATTATCTTATCTGATAAAGACCAGATTCTCTGTGGTCTTTGTAGCAATACAATGTCTATAAAATTATATTAATTTTGAATGCAAAGGTGAAAAGCAACAGAATAAAGTATAAGGAGTATAACCCTTGGGACAAATAATTCTTGTATCATATCTATGATATGATTTATGAAGCATTACCTGCAGAAGAAGAAAATAATATCTTTCAGTTAAAATTGAATATAAAAATCACTTTAAAAAATGTAATTTTATACCAATTTTTAGTTCACTCTGAGTTTGGGCAGCTTCCATTGCTGAGACCTGAAGCTGGCTCATTGTTAGCAAAGACCAGTGCTGACCCTTTAACCCCAAAGGAATCACATGCGTCTGAAGATAATGCCTTATATTCTCTATCACATCATTTCAGAGTCTTAAGGGAGAAAGGAAACCAGAAGCACAAATGTCTGATAGTAGCAGACATCTTTGAGAGCGATTGTAATCATGCCTTAGAGCTCGCAACAAGTATATTTCAATAGCTTATGTTTTGTCTAACTTTCGTTGCCCAAAAATAGGCATCAAGAGTGTAACACAGGTTCTTTGTACACACAGTGCAGGAAAATAGGGACCTCCAGAGCATGATTTGTTCCATTCACTTTTAAGATTAATATAAGTCTTCAGAACAGAACTCTTTCTTATGCTAAATCTAAACCGTAAATTAAACAATCATTAAAAGAAGACAATGACCACAAGTATGCCTTACCTTTAAAGTAATGGTATTGTAGTTGCCTTCTAAGGAGAAAAAAAAAAATATTCGTAAGTGATTGATCCAAATAACAACAACAAAAAAAAAATCTACCATTTTATTTTCTTGTAATTATATATACAGACTTTTTTTCCTTTTTTTTTTAGAAATACCTGTGATGTTTGTCTTTTTGTAAAGAACCAAGCCTCATTGGCTTGGGTGTACCATTTCCTTAGCTCTCATCTCTTTATAGTCTTATTGACAACAACCACCATATCTTTTAACAGAGGGAAGATGAGCCAGAATGGACAAGAACCAGTAAAGCAGTCGGGAGTAGGATTATCCGATTCAGAAGGTAAAAAGAAATACAAACAGCACTACAGTGATATCCCATATTTGTAGAACTGATATGTGTTTGTCTTTTACTTGTTATGCTATGAAAAATTAGTCTATGTTCTCTTTGTATTGTGGATTAAGATCCTAACCTTCATTTATTCTAAGGGCTCGTTACACATAGCATCAATGTAATGAGTCTTCAGTTTAAATGAGAACAGTGTCTTACCTGTTTTTTTAAGTAATTCAGTAGTTAGATTACAATGAATAATGTCTGTCTTTTGATGTCTATTGCTTTTCACGGTGTTCAAATAAAAAATACAGAGTATGGAGCTGACTCAATGCTCATTGAATTCAAAGAAAATACCCAATGGCTGTCAGACTCTATTTTTATAACATTTCAGAATGTTTACTTAATAACACAATTATTATTATTATTAGTGTTTTCATAAAACATTAAGTTTAAACAAAAATATTGGTTGAACAGCAGGCTTGACTGCTGCACTTAATGCAGAAGCATTATAATGAAACTCTTATTGGATTGTGAAATCCTGAGTGATTTTTTTGGTATGAATGTGGCAGTGACAAAGAAGGAGACACTGTAATATTGGAGCTGGAAAGAGCCTGACAGAATGACTTTCAAAGCTTCATGAGCAATGTGATTATGTCTTTCATGTGTAATAATGGACAACCACATGAAAATTGAGTGTTTTTTTCTGAAGGACTTGTAAGGAAAATTACATTTTCCTTTGTATATAAGGTATATTTTTTCAAGTGTATATTTCTGTTGACCTCAAATATAAAATTTAATTATCATGACCTTCATTTTATTGTTAAGACTTTTAAATGCATTTCAATGCAGCTTTGAGGTATTAATTAATAAATTGAAATTCATTGGTAAATTGATCTTAAATTGGTAAATTGATCTTAAATTCAATCATTAAAAAAATCAAATTTTTCAGGTTTCTACAATCTGTATACATGGGGAAATAATTACTGTTGCTACATTTGCCGTAAAAGCAGTCTAATATTCCACAGAGTTGAAGAAATTAAATTAATAATTGAAGGTAGAACTGTAAAACTGTCTTTTCCAAAGCAAGAATTCTTAACTGTGTATATGCATTCTACTAAATGTTTCCATTCATAATACTCATCATGTAAAAATCAAAATTAATCTGCTTCTCAAACTTCAATTTCTCAATAGTTTTTTTAAGTATTTGAAAATCAATCTATTTTTAAAGAGAGAAACTGTGAAGTGAAAACAGGAAATCAGAAATATTCCATTTTTACTTTGTCATGATAAATTTTATATTGAATGATAATTGTAAAAAAAAAATACCTTTTCATCTTTTTGTTTATCATAAGTTACCCCTTTGGTACGGTCTTGGATCTAAATTTCAGAGCCTACGAACACAAAATATTTTCATTTCTTATTTGTATCATTAAATAACCCCCAAATCAATCAAACAAACAAACAAAAACAACCCCCATCTTTTTAAACATTCTGAAAGATGTGTATGTAGCATTTGGTCACTAAAATTACTTTTCCAGTCACAGTTATGTTTCTGCTTGTCTTCAAAATCTGCGAATAACTCAAGAGCTGCAATTCCCTAATTTTCACTTATGATGCAATTCACCTCTCCTATCTTGAGTACTCTAAGCACTGCAACTCCAAGTATGATAACATAAGTAGTTCTTGCTAAGTGCTGTTTCTCAACATTGAGAGAAGCTGGTGCATGCAGCCTGTTTTTTGGTGTCTGATTTCTAGTTGACTAAGACAGGAAAGATCAATCTCAAAGGATAAATTCAACTAAAAGCTGGAAAACAATTCAAGAACATTTCAGTTTCAGCATGTAAACATAATTATCTTGAGGGGAAGCAGTTCAGAATTTAGAGGAACTCAAGATTAACTGAATATTACTTCAGTATTGCAAAATTATTGTGGTATTCTTTTCATGGATGAATGAAAAATCTTAGAGATCAAATTATACCTTTTCTGTAGTTCAGTTATCTGTGTTATGGACCAGAGGAGCTCTGCAATTAATTGGAAGCAAATGTTTATCCCCGTTTTTCATTAATTTGTAGAGAGCTCCCATAGCTGACATTTGTACTTTCATTTGCAAATAATGATTTAGTGTTATATTTAAAAGCTTTTAATACTGAAAATATTTTTTTACATTTTCAAATACTCTTAGTGCATAACTTCTGTAAAAAGTAGCCTGTGGGTTAGTCTCTTTAAAATGGGGCAGAATAAATTTATTTGCTTAAACATACGGATCTGCTGCTACTTTAAATGTTTTAGTCATCCAAGTCATTCACATAGGCCTGACAAAAATGGCAGGGGACTTACAGGATCTTTAGGACCAGTAGCTGGAGGCAAAGCGAGGTAGGACCATGACAATGAGAACTGGTTTCTAGACAACTGAATCAAAACTGTAGCAACAGGGGTTGGGTTCATCTCACTGGATATGACACCAAAATTTTCATCTCACTGGATATGACACCAAAATTTAGGCATGTATATAAGTGGAGTCACCAGGGAAAAATATGCTCCTTTTTTAATTGTTTGCCTACTTGAGAAATGTGTTAATGTTTTGTTGGAGTAGTTTTTGTGCTATTAAGATGTATTAGTATAGTTAAAAGTAAATATTGGAAAACAGTATCATTTACACACTATTTACAAAACCAAATGGTCAATATAAAAAACTGTGAGTATTGATATGATAGTCTTTGTTTCTCTGAACATATCATCTTGTTATATTCTGTATTTTTGTACTACTTAATAATATAAAAATAATTCAGAGTTTTGTTCTTGGACACTGTATTAGTTATTTTTATGATATGCATTGTTGCATGCTATCTTACTCTGGGCATTATGCTCTGAGCAGATGAAATACTTGATCTTCTTAAGTTTCAGTTAATCTTATTATACGTATTGTGATCTTCATTGAGTTATGCAAGCCAATTTCTGTATTTGTTTCAGAAAGTGCAATATACTTTGTTTAAAGATTTCTTATGACATGCTATGGAGTATTGCAGACGTTACAGACAAAAACCCCAATTGCATCCATGTAAGGATTGAAACTAACAATTAAAAGCACATGATTAATATCTCGATTCAGTTGTAGATCATGATTGGTCTATCTGCCCTATGACATTATTCAGCCAATAGATCCCAGACGGTATTTTCCACCTACCAACTATTTATATAATTAAAAAATAAATGGGGAAAATTATTCTCATATTTCAAAAGTGTGACCTTACTAGGTAATCCCAACATGCCATTATTTGTAGTAGAAGAGACATATATAGGTGTGAATAGCATTGTAACTGACATTTTGGATCTTCTACTTTTGAAGATTCTATATGCATGCAAAATATTGTTCCTCTAGAATTGTAAGCGCTGAAGTTCATCTCAAGAAAAGACTCTTCTAGAAGTATTTCATGGGGGTTTTTGAGTGAATGAGTAATCACAGTGCTTTTGTCATCCTCTGTGCTTGGCCTCATTTCTTCAGTCAGAAAATTGTAATCTTTATATAAGAACAGAGTGGTTGCCCACCCACATCTTCCAACAGAGGGGGAGGTTTTTACCTTTTTTTTTTTTTTTAAATGCTGTCCACTCCATGTGCTGAATACCAAAAACTTCTCTACAGAGTTCTGTCGTGTCTCAGAGGTTCACTTTCTGACCTTTCCAGTGGTCCTTTGAGCAACACCCTTTGAGTGTGATAAAACAAAGTTCTGTAAGTAAGAAACTCTCTCCCTCTACAAATGACTGAACCTGAACAGAAAATTTCAAAATGTTCCAGTTAAGCCTCAGTAGATGTATCTCCACAGGCAAACAGAAGGAATATGTTTGATATTGAAAGATGCACACATCCTTGCTGAACTTCTAGAAGGAACCATTATCATCTTTAATGAACTCTTTCAGGATTTTTCTTTTTTTTTTGCATGCTCTGTACTTGTCTAAGTTACAGATTAAAAGAAAAACAAAACAAAACAAAAAATCCACCACAACAATAACAAAAAAACATAAAACTTCAAACATGCTCTGTGTTCATGCTTTAACAGGCAAATTTTACAGTACTGTGATTTTTATATCTATTCACAGTAGTCTAAGCTAAAAAATACCCAATTTTTTTTCAATTTTTGAGCTTTGTTGTTCATCATCCTGGATTACAAACTAAGAAATTCAGTTTTAACAGTATTATCACTTATCTCTGTATTTAAGAGTTAAGGCAGTCTAATCTTTATTTGTGAGAAAAATAGTTGAAATACCACACAAATCATAAAACATGTTAGGAATCATTCTAATAATGTTTTGGAGGAAAGGTGCATGACCCCTGTAAGTGACTGGCAATCATTTGACTTCTAAATTTTCCTTCATAGCTTTCTGAATATTCCTAATGAAATTTTCACCCATCAAGTCTGTACAGAATAGGTCCTGGAGGAAATTGTCTTGCAAGTTGTATCACACTTTCTCTTGAAGAGGAGTACCCAGGAGTAATATGTGGATTACCTCTCTTGAGTAAAATAAGGCATGAAACAAACTGACAGCACAGGCACAATTAAGCATCCCCACATTCTTCAAAGTAACTAAAACTCAGAAAAAAACCTCCTTTTGCTTGTTCTTTAGCTAGGCTACAGTAACACTGTTTAAACCACAGGACTTACATTAGTATGACTGAGAACAGACTAAGGGCTTGAGATGTTCCCTAAATCAACTTGCTCTATCTCTGCTTCTTAAAAAATTAGCATTTTGATTTCTTTAAACTCCAAAGGTTGAAGTATCAGAAGTATCATCCTTATGAAGATGCTCCTAATTTTGGACCTTCAGTCAGAAAATTATAAGAGGAGAAAAAAGATAGATGAAGGAAATTATTAATGGCTAATCATGATAGAGCTACTGAGATTTTTAAATGCTTTTGCCTATGTACAAGTCTGTACTTTGATGTCTGAGCTGTCCAGACTGAAAAGAGGGGGTTTACTGCAGATGAGAAACTTTTCTTTCATTAGAATTAAATTACTTTGTATATTAATATTAAGGTGAATTTTACTGACCTTGCAGAAGCAATGGCGAAAATGCTGAGACTGGGAAAAATGTAGGACATAGATTAGGTTATATATTAAATTTATGTAACTTCAGGATTATCTGAGACTTTCCTTCTTTCATAATCAAATTAATTTATATCTTTTTATCTGTCAGAAGGTAACTTCTTTGAAGCATAACTTCATTTTAGGCCATCTAACATGAATATCAGAAAGACATATTTAGCTGGTTTTCCCTCACAAGCATTTTTCACTTAAACTGGTTTTAAACATAAAAACAATTAGAAATTAAGTGAACATTACATTTATAGACACTTTCTCCCACAAAGGTGCATAAGGGAAACTGTACTATAAAACATCCAGTCATTTGTTTTAGATGTTTAAAATGAGTTCTTTGATATTTAGTGGAGAAGCGGTGTAATTTATGAAAGAAAATGCAAAAAAAATGTGATAAAGAGACTCTAAGTTGGATATTCTGCATTTAGACAAGAGGGATTTATATTAATTTATGGAATTAAGTAGATTTTTTGGTGGTTTGATGCCCAAATTAGTGAAATTCCCAGAAGTCCCGAGAGGGTCATGCTGGAGGATCTCCATCTCGGAGGTTCTCACCACCTTATCTGCCCTTGGACACAGAACAAAAGTCTCCCTTGCTGTATAATAGACAAACATAAATTATAATCCTGATAGCAGCCTGTTACAGGCAGCAATGGTTTCTGGTGTTTCTCTGGAGTCTGGCAGAATCGCATTTTAGGATTACATCCTCACTTTTAGTGGGGAGTAACGTGCCACCACTTTAGGTCAGTGTTACAAAGTGTATCAGCACCTAGTTTTATGTGCTATAATTTGCCCCTGCTAATATCTAAATCTTCTCATGGATTATATGATGATTCTAAATGATATAGGTATTGCAAATGAACCCCTAATTTCCTTTGATATGAAGGAAATTCTCTGTTAATGATTAAGCCAACTGCCTTTGTTGTTTTTTTCGGTTAGTAATCAAAAAAATTATGGCATATAACTTTTTCCAGAAAACTCAGTAGTAGAATAAAACACAACCTGCAAAGTAAATAAAGTGGGGGGGAGTTTAGACAAAGCTTGTATTTGTTAGCAATACTGAAAGATGGGTGGTGAGTTAACTGAGAACACCTTTGCAGAGAAGGACTTAGGTGGATGGTAAATTAGACATGAGCCAGTGATGTGTGTTTGCAGCCCAAAAGCCAAGCATATCCTGGGCTCCATCACAAGAAGAATGGCCAGCAAGTCAAGGGGGGGGGGGGTGTCATTCTGCCCCTCTTCTCTGTTCTTGTGAGACCCTACCTGGAGTGCTGCTTCCAGCCTGGGGGTCCTCAGTATAAGAAAAACATGAACCTGTTGGACTGGGTCCAGAGGAGGAGCACAGAAATGATCAGAGGAGTGGAACACTTCTCCTATGGAGAAAGACTGAGGGAGGTGGGGTTGTCCAGCCTGAAGAAGAGAAGACTCTGGGGACACCTTGTTGTGGCCTTCCAGTATATAAAGGGGGTTTATAAAGAGGCAAAAACTGTTTACCAGGGCCTTTTGTCACAGGAAAAGGGACACTGGTTTTAAACTGGAAGATATTAGATTTAGATTGGCTGTAAGAAAGAAATGTTTTATAACAAGGATGGTGAGGCACTGGAACATGTTTCCCAGAGAAGTTATGGATGCCCTACACCTGGAAGTGTTCCAGCTCCAGGCTGGATGGGATTTGAGCAACCTGGTCTAGTGGAAGGTGTCCTTGACCATAGAGTGGGGTTGGAACTAGATGATTCTTAAAGAGCCCTTTCAACTGAAACCATTCTATGACTCTGTGATGTGATAAATAATTATCTGACAGTGATTATTGAAGGGTTCAACACACAAACTGCAAATATGCCTGTGCTGTGTCAGTGTTCTGGGAACAGTTGCCTATTCAGGCAAAGGTGTTTTACAGTTATAGTAGAAATGTTTTTCTCCTTCAACACTTGTTTCTTCTGTACCTTTGATTAGGAGATTCAGGCATCCACATTTCACTCACCACCCAGTGTTTTGTCTTGAACAGATAGTCAGTAGCTCTGTACCATGAAAATTCCACTTTCTTTTTCATTTCTTACCTTGGGATTGAGATTCAGTTCCTGAAGCAACATCAGAATGTCACATGTATAGTATTGTGTAGCAAGAGTCTGAGAACTGCTATTAAAAAAAAAGAATGCAAGTATCATTACATATCATACAACTGTTCATTTCTATGTTTACGTCAGGAATTGACTGAATAGAAAAAGGAACTGTGAATCCACATGCTTGAGTTTACCAGCAAGACTAGCCTCCAATTTACCCACAAATCACACACTAGCATGTATTTATTTTACACTAGCAAGTATTTATTTTTCTTAAATTTAGTTAAACTGAACTGAAAATTCCTATCTCCTATAATTCCTGGCTCATAACAATCTGACTAACAGCATATAGATCACCAGTAAATTACCAGGTCAGAACCAGTCACTTTCACTGGTGGGGAATTTTGGAATAGTTCCTTGTCTCTGCACCAGGGCTTGATCCAGTTCCTTCCAAGGCCTTTTCAGACTGGTATCTCAAAAACACAAGGAGCACCATCTATTCAGTTCATGCACACAGGTCAAATATTACCTTTACTGTTTGCTCTCTTGGCGATAATTCAAATAACTCAGGAGTCTTGCACATTTAATCCTAACATATACTAAAATGGAAGAGAACCTGGAAAAAGTCTGGACTTTCAAGTATTTTTCTTGAATCAATAGAGTCTTGAACTGACCAAGTATGAGACTGTTGAGTTGACTGTAATGGATATTGATCCATGGATTTAAAGAGTAATCCAGCCAATCTGAAATGTTACCAATACTGACTTGAACAGTGGTTGAATTGCATTTTTTGGTTTTGAGTTCATGTCTCATAGTACATAGCAAAAGAAATTACTGCACACTCTCAATGTCTTTCCTAAAGAGCAATATAAACCTGGTGATGTCTTTTTTAAAAACCATTTTTAGTGGCTGCAATATTTACTTTTATAGTCTTATTGAGATTCTGATTTACATGTAGAAGAGGACAGTTTGTGAAATAGAATATTACTGAATAAAATGTGATCCTTTCCCAGGAAGAAGTCCAATTGAAAGAATCAGAGTATTTGCCAAAACTCTCTACTATCCCTACAAATAAAAAGGCTAAAATTCAACCTGACATTGTTTAAACTGTCTTTAATATGAAATCACAACCTTGTTTTCTACTATTACCTTCTACTAAGGGTCTGCCATCTCTACCCTTGGCAGCACAAGTTTAATCAATGCCATCAAAATTTAAAGCAGAAAATACCAGCAAAGGTAATTTCTCACATGAGCAACTTCCACAATACCAAAGAAAAAAAAAAGACATAAGGGAGTAGAAAATAAGTACTGAGAGCACTTGCAGTTAGGCTGTTGATCCCCTCATACTGTACCTCCGTTATTTTTAGGAGTGGGAATTTCAATTTTTTAGAATTGAACAGATATACTTCCTGTCACAAGGGATCCTTAAGCAATGAATCAAGCCTGTGCACTGTCAATAGTCCTTATCCTCTCTGTTGTTTTTCAGAAAGCTGTCTATATTTTATACGTGCTCCCTTAAGCTAGAAACAGCCTTACTACTAATGCCTAAATACCACTCCTTAAAGAAATGAGTCAAGATAAACAGCAGCATTATAAACCTAAGTATTATCAGCTTACTCTCTAAACTTTGAGAAGTATTTTTTATCTATCCCTGATTGGCCTCACACTCTCATTTCCCACCTGGCTCTCCAGTAATAATTGAAGCAATTAGTTCTGCCTTCCTGAGGTATTTGCTGGTATAATCCAACTGCTTTTCCTAAAAAGAAGCAGAAGGAATTTAAATAAGAATAAAGACTGCATCCAGAGATAGAAACATAAAAGGAAAAAAGGACAAGCTAATATTCTGTGTTCTTGTATCGCAAACTTGTATCACAAACAACATTGATTTACGTTGTTACAAATCAGCCTGTTCCTGAATTGTCACTATAAAGTGTCATCAAAAGCAAAGTAAATAATCCAGGGAGACTGACTGTGATTAACTAGTGACTAGCCAAGAGCTTCTGCCACTGTTGTATGAAGTATGACTAAAAGGCTATTAGCTCTTAAATTATGTGTCAAGAAAATTCTAAAAAAAAATTTATTTTTTTAAGCTTCCATTTAAAAATTTTCACTTTTCCCATGGGATTTCTTAAAAATCAAAAAATATTAAGATAAACAAAACAAGGAAAAAGCTGGAAAACACATGTATTTCATCTTGAAACCAAAATATTGAAATGATACTTCAATAACAACTTGGAAAGATAATTTGTTTGCCTAATGTTCTTGTTAATTTTTACTGACCTTGCTCTTGAATGCATTTCCACTAACATAAAGCTGCTTGGGACTTTCAGGAGGTTTCTTCTGGTGACTTCTTGGAGGTATAATTGGCTAAGTGTGTTTGGACTGGGAATTGGCATGCTGGTAATTCCTTCAAAAATCTGGCAAAGTCACATGGTTTCATTTCTAGGGAAGAAAAGAAAGAGTTTTGGTAGAATTATGTAATCTGTCTCTTTTAAAAAGATGTGGTTATGAGGGAAGTCTGATTTAATACTAACTGGCACATTTAGTATAAATACCAGTTAATAATGAAGACCATCAACACTGGAAAACAAACAGAGGGATCCCCCCACCAAAACTGGAGTGAAGGTGAAGATGCTGGAATGTGTGATTAACTGAACCTGAGCCATGTCTGGTGTAAGTCTGAAGAAAGGCTGCTTCACCTAGTGAGTAATTTATAATCACCTTGAAATAGAGTGACTTTTCATGATCAATGTTCATTTAGGATCGGTAAAAGTCAGGTTGACGCATTAATATGATAGAAGGTGAATTGCTAAATCCTAAATGATTTCCTCCCTGTGATGAAAATGAAACTAGGAGGTACCGAGTAGGGTTTTTAAATGTCAGCTTCCTGGATACTTCAAGTGATCTCCTCCATTTAGCAGTGGGATTAGGACCTGGAATTGTGGGCATACTCCAAGGAAAAATAAAGTAAGTAAAATAGATCTGTTTTCAAGTCAATAATGTTCAGTACTCAAATATATATAAGCTATTCTGTAGTAGGAATGGCGTTAAGGGGCCTTCAAGGGGCCATGCTAATGATTCACAGGACAATATTGTTCCTAAAAGGCTTTTGTTAACTTGCACCAAAAAATTCCTAGTGGTGATATAGACTTTAAAGCTTCATTAGTCTGTTCTAGTGCTTGATTATCCTTAATAGGAATATATTTTCCTAAGTTCTAGTCTAGTTTCTTACTGAAATTAGTACTCAAGGACAGAAATAAGAATACAAAAGCCAAGATCTTCCCTTCACAAACGTAGTATTATTTTATCAAGCACTTCTTATAAGTAGATTATCCTAAGCTTGCCTACAAATGATAACACAGCCATTCCTATCAAACAGTTCTGTAATAGAGCTCCACTTTTTATGTATATATTTGAAATGTCAAAAAACCCTCAAGAATGTCATAACCTTTTTCTATACTTAACAGTCCTTTGTAGCTCCTTAATGTCTTGTTTCTTAATTTTCTTTCTTTTTTAATGATAATTTATAACTAACTTACTTAGAACTTAAACTATATTGATGGGCAGTTTTTATTTGCTCTTATATGTTCCCATATAATCTCTTTTCTTTAAGCTCATATTCAAACAGTTATCTTGGAATGCTGTTTACATGCAGATGAATCTAGAGCATTTCCAGGTGGGATCACATGGCAAGCTAAAATTAAACATCAGCTGATCTTTAATTTAGCACGTAAAACTGCTCAAATTTATTGGACTGTAAATTGTGTTTCCAAACAGAAGCTTTTGGAAATCAGTGCATTAGAATGAATATAAGTCTTTCCTATGATGAAAATGCCTAGATACATCCAAGTCTCGTAGTAGAGAGTCTGTTTTCATATCTATACTTAGAACCTTGTGTTTTGTACCTACTTTATGTTCAGATTAATGTTTTCCATTATGCTCCATGTTCATTATTTCATCCTATGAGAGTAGTTTTACAGGCTTGCAACTGTAACAAAATATGTTATTCACTGCAGCAGTATGTGAGTAATATTTTACCTGTAAAGGGAAAAATTCAGTCTGTGTTTTTCTCATAAAGAATTCCTAACAGTTTGCCCAGTGTAGACATTTGTAATTACTTAAGGCTATTATATGTTCTCTTCCCTTCTGTGTATTATTTATTCTGACATTACCAGGCTATAACTGGAAGGGAATAAAATGGACAGAAGATTAAACAAATCTAGTGGCAGAAAGTGATGTGCTGTGTGAGTAGAAGATGATGCAGTTAATTTATCCTTATCTGCAAAAGGATTTGGGGTCTTTAAACATAGGTGTATCCTGTTGTTTTAAGTACTCTATTTTTCTACCTCAATCCAGTTGCTGTTCCAGAAACTCATGGGTATCCCACAGATTCTTTTTCCCATCTACCATTCCAGATCAGATACTTCAATTTCACTAACACATCTTAAATGACTCCAGATCCACATGTAAATAGGCATAAAACCAATTCCTCCTACGCCAAGACAGTACTCAGGTTTTCCTTCACTGTCAGCTACCTGGAGTGCCAGTCTTTTTCTGCTATCTGTTAAGAACCTAAAGATTATAATGAAAATTTACAGCATTTATTCCTTATATAAAATTTAGGTGGATGATCTCAGATAGGATTAGTCCTACCAAATGGCCCCAGGTTTGCTTGTGTGTTATTGCCATCCATTGCCGATCTCTTAATTTTCTGAAACATCCTTTGGTATGCTTTCTTTCTGTCATATTTTATTTTTTAATATTTCTTTAGATTTTTTTGTCTGCCACATTGGCTTTGCATTCTGACTTGTGATGTGATAATAACTTAACGTGACTGGATTTACATGCCTTGGAAAATGCACAAAGCTTCTGGAGACCAGCTGGGTCAAACATCTGATATATACATCTGCCTTCTGTAACTAGAAGTCCATGTATTTTTCAGAAACCTGATAACATATTGCCTATGAAGATTAGTTAGTTTGTGTGATTTACTAGAAAAAGTCCCATAAGTAGTTTGCATCAATGCCTGCTGAGTATGATATGGATTCTTACTGTTTCTTCCTGCTGCTCATCTAATATCTACAACATTTATTCACCAGCATCCTGGTTGCCTGTGTCTGGCTGAGTGCTCAGCTTAGAAACATATTCATATTCATGGAATATTCTGCTAATTTCTTGAAGAAATTGGATTCTCATTGATCTGAATGCAATTATTTGCCTTTTGTATAAACTATGCCCTTCCGACTGGTGTGACTATCTGAGTTCTTTATTTCCTGGCAAGCAAAGGAGAGAAAAAGGAGTCTTTCCATCTTGTCTCTGGACATTTGAGAGAGTAACAAGCAAAGACAGCTTAAGATATTATTTATATATTGGTTTTTAGTCTGTTTGGTGTTTTGTTTATATTTTAAAGCAGTATGCAAAGTCTCTGACTTTATAGATATATATTTTCTGTGCTATTTTTATGCATGAAAAAGTGAAGCCTACTCTGTATCTGAGTATTTTCCTTCCTACTCAGTGTATCCTTTTCAAACAGATCCATAAAGCAAGATTATCTAAATTTCAAACAGGTCCATAAAGCAAAGCTATCTAAATTCCTGTAAAATTGTAATACAGCTTGTTACAATTCAGAAACTACACAGTATAACTATAGGTTTTTTAAGCCCATGATAAATTTGTACATGAAAGCTTCCCCTTCCAAAGAAAGGAAACTGAATGGTGTTAGAAGGAGAAGGAAAGAAAACTAACATGAGAATTTTTTTTCTTGTTGGTGAACATTTTAGGCACAAAAAGAGCTTTCACAGTGAAAGAGAAACAGAATCTGAGAAGCAAAGCCTAGGAGCTGCTCTTTCCCTCTCCTATCAAACACACCTTACCCAGGTGTTGTTCCATTGACTAAAGGAGCTACTGCAGATTTACAAAATTATACAAAGAAAATGACACATGAAAGAGTCTCAGCTTACCTTCAGAAAATGACATTTGGAGGTACTTGTGAAAATCCTGCAACACGAGAATGATTTTTACAATTTGTCTTCAGCAGTGGAGACAGTGCAAAAGCATACTGAAACCAGAAAAGCACCAACATGAGTGAGACTAAGCCAGTCTTCCTAACATTTCTCATTCTCTGGACAAAACCCAGTAACTAATGTGTCATTGTACACTGGTTTTTTTCCCAGTCTCTTGGAATTGTCTTGTTGAATCTACCTTGTTTTATGCAAGTACAGATTATAAAGAAGGAGGAAGGATATAGAGGCCATAACTTCTGCATCATTTTAGGGGTGAGACTTCTCACATTATAAGGGAAAAAACACTCTGAAATCAAAGCTGCATTAAATATAATATGACAAATCAATTCCCTCTTTATTGGCAGCATCTACTGCCCTCAGATTACTTGTTCTGAGTCAAATTCCAAAATTAAATATTGCAGCTTTCTTGTTGAACAAAGCTGAGTAATTTTTTTCAAGTACAATTTTCTGCCACTGGCTAAAGATGCTAAATTGAAGACAGCTTGAAAAATGGATATAATAGGAAGTGATGCAAATCCTGGGAGAAAGGACACACACATACACACGCATACACAAACCACAAACACATCCTTTCTTCCCTGCCGCTCTCCAGGATCAACTGAATATGTGGATGTATATTTAAAACATTTACCAAAAGTAATAATTATTCTGATTTCTGCTATAATTTTGAGCAGAAAGTTCTTTCTTAGGAATATTATTTCTACTATGATCATAGAGTAAACCAAAAAGAGAGATCAGACATTGCCTAAGTCCCCTCTCAGTCGTCTCTTCTCAAGGCTGAATAGGCTCAATTCTCTCAGCCTTTCCTACTAAGAGAGATGCTCCAGGCCCTTCATCACCTCTGTAGCCTCTGCTGGTCCTGGTCCAGGAAGTCCATGTCTCTCTTGTACTGAGGAGACCAGGACTGGACACAGCACTCCACAGCAGCCTCACTAGGGCTGAGTAGAGGGGCCGGATCACCTCCCTTAACCTACTGGCAATGCTCTTCCCAATGCACCCCAGGGATAGCATTGGCCTTCTTGGCACAACAACACATGGACAGTTCATGGAGAGCTTGTTGTCCCCCAGGACCCTCAGGCACTTTTCTGCAGAGCTGCTTTCCAGCAGGTCAACCCCCAACCTGCATGGGATTATTCTCTTCCAGGATCAAGAGCCTGCATATACCTGTGTTGAATTTTAGACAGTTCTTCTCTGCCCACCTCTCCAACCTCTCCAGGTCCTTCTGAAGGGCTGCACAGAACTCTAGTTCATCAGCTACTTCTCTCAGCTTTCTGTTGTCGTCAAACTTGCTGAGGAAGTATCCACCCCATCATCCAAGTCATGGATGAATAAGATAAACAAGATTGGACACATCATCAACCTTTGTGGGACATCACTAGTTACAGGTCTCCAACTAGACTCTGTGCCCCTGATCAAACCCCCCCGAGCTCTTCTGTACAGCTAGTTCTTCATCCACCTCATTGTCCACTTGTCCAGCTCACACTTGCTGGTGAGGTTATCATGGGCAAAGCATCACAAGCCTTGCTGAAGTCCAAGTAAACAACACCCAGTGCTCTCCCTCACCTATCCAGACAGTTATCTCATCATAAAAGGCAATCAGGTTAAACATGATTTCCCTTTGGTGAATCCACGCTATCTAATCCTGATGACCTTTTTGTTTTCCACATGGCTAGTGATGGTCTCCATGATAAACCATTCCATCACCTTTCCAGGAATGGAGTTGAGTCTGACTGGCCTGTAGTTTCCTGGGTCCTTCTTCTTGCCCTTTTTGAAGACTAAGATGACATTTCCTTTCTTCCAGTCCTCAGGCATCTCTCTTGACTGCCGTGACCTTTCAAAGATGATGGACAGTGGTCTAACAATTAAGTCTACTGATTCCCTCGGCACTCATGGGTGCATTCCATCAGGACCCATGGACTTATGGATGTCAAGTTTGACTGAAGTGTCACTACCCAATCCTCCTCAAGCTGGTGTATCCACCTTTGAGGGAAATTAAGTGGGAAACTGTTCAAGTCGAGCAGAAAGCAGACTCCTGTTTTTAATATGTTGTAGCCAATGATGGGTCCTCTGGAGACAACTGGACCACATGCAGAAAAGGAACATTTGTATCACAGACCATAATAATTTCAATTTCAAGCACATGCTCTTAAGTTTATACGATATAGATATGGGTGCCTCAGAGCCAATTGCTTTGATATACTGATTTGTTCCTGTTGTACCAGATTAGTGCTGTGTAGACACAGTAATATATAATAAAGAAATTACCTAAGTAAAAGCTTAAATATCTTGAAAATTCAGTTTTCTACTGACATTTATAATTGCTATATATACAAAATTTAAGACTTAAACTTAAAATATACATACCTTTGTTTTTCATACTGTCATCCTGTGATCAGTTTGGTGAGAAAACCCCTTTGTGCCTGAGTTGCACAAAATAAAGGAGATAAATGCATCAGCTGCCCTATTCCACAAGAATCAAATAAGAAAAAAAGATGAACACTGATGAACATTTCATCTCTTTCTACCACACTGCACTGAGGGAAAGTCTCTGGTAAAAAGACTATCATGTTCTTTCAAGGAGGAAATAAAGACACACAAAAAGGTCCCACAATATTCCCATTTAATCTTTTCCCCATATTTTTTTCTCTTACTAGATTGCTTTTTTCATATTAGCTGAGTCTATCTATAGGGAGGTGCTGTCTAGTGGGGCTTTTTTTATTCATGTCAAAACATATATTTAAAGCTCTTAATGTAAGCAATATTTTTGAGTTATGTTGCAGGCTATCAGGATTATTGGATTTATATATTTATATAGACATATATATTTTTTACTCACTGCATGAATTGAATTAATTGAATTATTATTTCATAAAGCTTTTGGAATTCCAGTGATGCTTGTGACAGGAGAGACTGCCTCCAGTGAGTTAAAGGGAGTTTTTCCATTGGAATTTAGAATTCTCCCATAGTGTCCATTGAGTTCTGCAATAAATTTTGAAATAAATTAATATATTTCATTGCATTGTACAGGAAAAATCACTTCACTACTATATGAATTATAGAAGATTTATACAAGGCCATGACACACATAGATGACAGGCACAGCCGAATAGATGTAGTGGGCCAGATTAATGTTGTGTAACAGTTTAGATCAGGATGTGCTCCATGAAAGTCACTGAAATTTCAGCAGCGTAAGATTGGTGTGAGAGAAGAGGGATCACACAATGAGAAAATTTCAAGTACTGTGAAAAATACAGGAGCAGTACTGGAGAATGCAGAAAAATTACTTTTGAAGCATTCAGCTGACTGAGCAACTAAAGTTCTGCTAATGATCCCTGAAGGTGGGAAGTCTGTCCTCTGAGCAACCCTGAGCTCAGACTCAGCAGCTTTTACTCTATTATTTAGAATAGCAACATTTTTGTCCTACTTTACCTATGATCTTTAACTCCCCAGGTATTCACTGGACTGATTCATTGTATTGTATTTATTTTAAATAAGCAGAACTTGTATTTCAGAAAGTTGCTTTTACAAATGTAAGGAATCTTTTGCAATGCAAACTTGTTGGAATTCAGATCTCCTGTCTTGTCTTCAGAGAAATATCCAAACCATCTATTTTTTTTCTCGCCTAGTTGGTTTCTCTACTGATGTTAATTTTAAGGGTTTTTTCGTTGTTTGGTTGGGTTTTTTTAATTGCAGTTAGATTGTAAAATGGAAGGTAGGATCTATAAATCATTTAAAGTGGAAAATTTGTGTAATACTATGTTAGGAGAAAAAGTGGAGTCAGCAATTCGAAATTAATTTAGATAGCTATAACTTCATAAACTTAAATCTGAACCCAAGAATTTAGTGCTGATTAGTTCAACAAGCAAATACTTTGTGCTGAGATGAGGTAGGTTTAATAGATGTAGATTCCTAGGATTAGGTCTGCTTCAATGATGTATATGCTTACATTTGGGTAAATGCACATGTATGCATACAGATGTGTGAATGTATATATACATACTTATGCACATATGTAAATTATTGAATCTCACACATAAATATACACATACACATATACACTCATATATATTATGACCTAATAACATTTTGACATACATGTTTGGAAATAAAATCCTAACCTGGGTGCTGAACGAAATGATTCATCTGTGTCTATGGGATTCTCCATTACTCAAAATACCCCTTTAGTTTTGCGAGCTTTTATAATCTGGACAATAAACATCACTGTTTGTGACTGCAATGGATAGCAAAAAAAGATAAGACCTATGTTTCATAGTGGCTCTGATATAGAAAGGCAATGAATCCTATTAATATCCAGTTTCACAGTTGATTTTCCCATGTTCTTCTAGTTTAATGGTCTTCTTTATTAAATAAATTTACAATAATTTAATGATTAGTGATTTTACTGGAAATTTCTTTTGAATCTTAAATAGAGGATAAGGAGAATTATGGTCTGATCTTTTGGCTTTTGCAAACAGGACCTGCTTAAATGGTCTAGACATTCTCTGAATAGTAAAGGTTTTATTTCACTCTCATATTCATTCTGCTTCTATGTTAATTATCTAATTAAAAACTTAGAGTTTTGTCTACTATATAATAAAATCTAATTCAATACCCTTCTACAGCGGGGACCTCTGAAATAGATAATGAAATCAGAAATTTTATCATGGGAGTTACGGGAGGATCAGTCACTTAAGTAAAAATTTTGAAATGAGTGGAAAGAAATAACCATTATGAACATACAGTTAATCTGACCTATTTTAGAGATTTATTTGCAAATAAGACAAACCACACTCTAGAAGAGTAATTCCTCAGATAAAGGCACTGATGTTCGGGCAGATGTATTCTAGCAGCAGGGTCTATTTCCAACAGGCATTAGGTGACAGCCACTGTAAAACGTTATTCCATATGCATCAAGAAGTAACTTTTAAGCACATTTAACTTTATTTGACAAAAATGCTAATTTGATTTGGTCTGCAGTTCTAAAACGGCTGCTGTGCTCAACAGTAAGTGTAATTACCATTTAGAGTGTTAAGTT